ACGGCCCTCTGCGTTGCGCCGGGCCGCTCCATTCTCCACCCTGAGCCCCGCTAGGCCGCGGGCCCTGAACTGCGAAGGGAGGAAAGGCTGCTCACCGCCCCTTCGCCGCAGCCCCGCGCTTCCGGATAAGCTCATCCAAGGAGATGTCCGCCATCTTACACCACCGAGCCGCTACGATTGCCTCAGCCCTCGAGCCCGCCCCTTCGGTGGCTACGGAGCGACTAGCTGTTTCCGGTGGTCGGCCGACGAACTCTCGCGACAGCTCAAAACAGGCAAGGAGCGGAAGGGGCGGGAGCTCCCCGTGAGCCTTAGCGACACTGACTGCTTATCTGCATACGGCGGGGCGCGCACTACCATCACCTATTCTCCCCGGACAACAAATAAAATGAAAAGTTAGATGAAAGATTTACTAGTGATTAAGATCAACTTTAAAGGAACGGAGCTCTCAGTTCAGCAGTCAACTTTGATACTCACCGTAGGGCTAATGAGAACGAGATTCATAACCTAGGAAGCAACTCCTAATCTCTTTTATGCCTTAAACTTATGAGTAAGGAAAATAACGATTCGGGGTGACGCCCGAATCCTCACTGCCAATGTGAGACGAATTTTTGAGCGGGTAAAGGTTGCCCCTGAGGTGACCCGCCTACTTTGCGGGATGCCTGGGAGTCGCGATCTGCCCGACCCCGTTACCCTAAAAGAAAGAGCAGGCTGGTGACAACTACGTCCTGCTTCCTTTCAGTTCTCTAAGTTACTTTATAGTAGGTGTTATTACAGTGCGCTTGTTTAAAGGGTTCCTCGTGTTCACTTTGGCTTTAATCTGCTATCTTTTCGTCCTTTCGAAAAGCGCAGTGTTTCTTGCTTGTGTAAGTACGACTGGGTTTTTATTATAAAAATGTCATCACTGTAGGAAGTATTGACTCATATCATGGCCTTTTAAATATTGTAATAAAGGTAAACGGATATTTGGCCGTAGTTTACTGGTTATTAAAAAAGAGAGAGAACAGGTTTGTCTGAAGGTAGAAGCAAAGCTGCGTTGGGGGGTGTTTACTCTAAACGAGAATCGGGGCCGGAGGGTGCATTCCTCACCGCCGCGAGTCTGAAGCGGCCCGGTTGTTGTCCTAGCCGCCCTCCACGTTGGTCGGGCCTTCCAAAGTTGCTGACAATGTTTATTATTTATGGCCCGTGAAACTGTCCATTTCTATACAGTTCGTGAACCTAAAGGCGACTTCAGCCAGTTCTCTGAAACTTCCCCCCTATAACTACTGTACAATGTCAGCTGCTTATTTGTGATTGAAAAAGAAAGACACATGCGGCTCCTGGCTGCGCACAGTCGGCGCTCATATTGTGGCTTAAAATGCAGTGCTCACGGGGCTGAGAGCTGGAGGATCGCCTGGGTCACGTGCCAGGGGCACACTTCTTGGCGGCACGACCTTCTCAAGCAAATCGCTTCACCTCTTCGTGCCAGTCTCCTTGATCTGTATAATTGGACAAACAACACAGGTCGTTGCGAATGTCAAATAGACTGATTTCATTAAAGTGTTCCATACATGTAATTGCCTCGATGCAACTCCAGCCTCCAGCACCGAGCTTGGCATGAGGCGGGGTGTTGGATACATGTTTGTCGAATCAATCAATAAAAGATGCAACGTATTTAAAACAGCGCCGATCATGGACTAAGTGCTCTATGAGTTATTATTCTCATCATCATTTTCTAAGCCCAACACTGCCGAGCGGAGTTACGTACTCTTGACAGAACATCTCGCCACGATTAAAAATCCTTTGTCGGAAACTCCGTGGAGACACTGGGCGAGAGAGCTGGGTCTGCGGTCGGCCACCAGACGGAGGAGATTCCAGGTCCCACCTGGCCGTGATTCGGTGCTGCTTGAACCGCGACCACTATCCCCTCCCTCCCTGGGGTGCGAGAGAAGGGCCAAGGCCACGGAAGAGGACCGCGAAGGCAGGTGCATTAGAACGAGGAAGTTCTAGAGGACCAGAGGACCTCAGGAGCTAAGGTCCTGTCGCGCCTGAAAAGGTAAAAAAAAGTCCCTTAAATTATTTTTTAAAGCCAGCACAATAGGGTCATTAATGGAGATCAACTTTTTTCTGGAATTGTCAGCGGGGTGGCCCGCCCCCAGGGGGCATTTCAGAGCTTTGCAGGGTTGTGTTTGGTTGTCTCGGCGACAGGGATCCGGTCACGTGGGGGTGGACTAGGGTGGGGCGGCCTGCCTGCCCTCCCAACGCTGGCGACATTCCTGGAGCCTAGAGATCCGTTACGATTCTCTGAGACAGGCTTCACTCCATTTCTTGTATTAAATACGCAAGACTTTTTGCCTGGTATGAAAAATGGAGTTGCCAGCAATGCTGCTGCGCAGTAGCCAAGGAATCAGGTCCCTCTTTGTTTGGAAATTGATCGCCCCACCCCGCTGCTGGGGGACTGGGGCATTTACAGGCTGAAATGTGCATCATTTTAAACAGTCTTTTCCTTTCTTGCTTTTATAGTATAGTTATAGGTTTGTGTGTTTTTAAAAGAAATTATTCTGTGTGTAGGTTGGTGATATTACTTGTGAATCACTTCAGGAGGGTAAAGGTGCTGCTGTAAATATTCTTTTAAAATGGTGTCAGGTCTGAGAGGATGGAGAATCACTGACCAAGTTCACACACCCATTTTAAAGATGGGGAGACTGAGCCTGAGGGAGAGGCCGGGCCCAGTTCATGTCCTTCCCAGCTCCAGAAGACGGCCTTTCATGGGCTCAGGCAGGTGTGTGGTCAGACCAGACACTCAAGCCTGTCTTCTCGTCCAGACTGGGACAAGAACGAGAAGGCCTACTGTGTGCAGTGCTCAGCAGGGTCTCCAGCACACAGTGGGTGTGGGGAAGGGCCACTGAGGCCTGGGCTTCCTAGGCTGAGTCCCAGCCCTGCCTGCCCCAGTACATGTGAGGGCCAGGACGTGGGCACTGGGGACAGAATGGAAGGTGAGTTGTTGAGAGAAAGGGGCTCCCCTGGTACCCAAGGTGTGGCCTTGGGTGAGCTCCCCCATCCTGTCCTCTCCAGCCTCATCATCACAGTCCTCTCAGCCACCTGCATCCTCTGATCTGCCTGGAAGATTATTCCACAACCTCTGCACTTGCTGCTTCCACCGCCTTGCACACCTACCCCAGCACGGCCAGCTCCTTCCCGTCACATCCCAGCATAAATGCCATCTCTGAGAGGCCTTTCCTGCCACCCTCACTCCCACACAGTCTCATTACCATCATCATTTGTTCCTTGTTTGATGCCTTTCTCAGTAGCACCCCAGAAGCAGTGAAGGGCGTGTTGGGGTAGCCACAGCCGAGTCCCCAGCACCCGGAACAGTGCACGAATGGACGCGGGAACTAGCGGACACCCTTCCACCTTGGAGCCTTCCACAGGGCAGGACAACACCCGCCTCACCTCCAGCCCCACCACCCGAAAGCCATTCATTGCCAAGCCTGTCTTTCCAGCAGAAAATGGGGCTAGTGACGTCCCCCTATCTCTTAGGGCTGTCAGGAGGAGACAGCGAAAAGGAAGACACTGGGGACATCCAGAGTTGTCCAAAGACAGGGCTGGAGATGCCTTTAACTCGGTGAGATGATCTGAAGAAGGGCGGGCATGAGGGGAGGGTGTACACATTAGACTCCCATGTCCGGAGGCCCTGGCCCAGCCTTCTGCCTCCTGGAATCTAACCGAAAATAAATCGTCTGGAAAGAGGGTGAAGATGGCCATTGTTACTTACAAGATTCACAAAGTGGGAACAGCCTAACTGTCTAACCATAGGGCACTCGCTACACACTGAATCATGACCCACCTGGGTTTACAGAGAGGCTGTGATGACTCTGGGGAAAAGCAGTGGCTGCACGGTAGATCCTGTGGTTTCATTACAGTGATCAGTGTTTGCCTCTGGATGCCCAGTATTATTTTTTTTCCTGTGCATACTTTTCCGTACTCTCCAAATTTCCCACAACAAACACACACACACACACATCAGAATAAATGCCAGGCTTTGCACAACCCCGTCCTGTGCCCCCTCCCTGCCGCCCCCACAGTGGCACGGGTCACAGCCTCAGGAGCTGTGGAAGGGTTCATATTAGCAAAGTTTTATTTCAACTTTTCTTCTGCTCATAAATGACTGAAAAAGCCGACAGGCAAGAGACTAACCCGCTGTTGTATGACAGCGACGTGGTGGCCACAGAGAACGCAGCAGACAAGGGCTCTGCTCAGAATCTCCCCCACGTCGGAGGCAGGCAGCGGGAGGGGTGGGTTTGAGACAAGGAATAAATAGCATCATCTTAGCTCTGCCATCAGGGCTGGTGGCCCAAGACCCTGAGGTGATAGATCTGACTGCCGATGCCGAGTTGACAGCTTGGAAGCCCCAAAGCTGCCCGAATGTTTGGGTGTGTTGGGGAAAATGGAGAGGGTTCGGGAGGGCCCGTGTGCCAACTGGCAAGGCCCTTGGCCACCCCTCCTCCCAACCAGCTGGTGGAGAGCCAAGCTCCCTGCTGGCCAGGCCTGCCTGGGCCCTGGCAGGGGCAGCCCATCGTTCCCAGGACTTTTGGGTGGTACCTGTCATGTAGTGTTAGGTGCTGAGGCCTGGCCTGGCCCTGAGGCAGGTAGTGATGGGCGGCAGGTGAGGATCCCAAGGTGGTGGCAGGGGAGACCCTGGCACCTGCAGCTCTGGGCTGCCTGGGCATGTATTTATTTCCACACTGCAGTCCACTCTGGGACTGGGGGGTGGAGCACGGTGCTGACGGCCTCAGCCCAGCAGTGTGGGGAGTGTGGGGGTGAGGGACGGACAGGGCCTGGGACCCAGCATCAATGGTGAGAACCGGTGAGGGCTAGTCAGGAACCCGCCCTGAAGGTGGCCGGTGGTGGCCCACCTGCAATAGAACCCCGCTCCTGAAGGGGCCCCCTGAGGGCCAGCCCAGCGGGGTGACCACCCAGGTGTGGTGGGCAGGCTAGGCTGAGCCCCAGGCCAAAGTGTGAGATGTGGCGGAAAGTGACGTTGGGGCATGAGGGCTGGGTGCGGACAGGGCACGTGAGGACGCGAGGCGGGCGCGTGGGGGGCCAGTGCCCGGCCGTCAGAAGGTGAAGCAGCGCTCCTTGGGGTGGCCCACACGATCCAGGTTGGGCAGGCAGGCGTACTGGATCATGGGCGGGGGTCCGCACATCAGCACCAGCGGCTCCTCCTCCGGGGGCGGCAGGTGGTCGCGGATCATCTCCTCGTTCACAAAGCCCTGGCTGTAGTCCCAGGCTGCGGGGCAGGAGACTGGGTGAGTCCAAGTGAGGCCCTGGGAGCAGTGACGACCACCCACCTGCCCGACGCCCCTCCACCCCCTACCCCCCGATGAAGCCCCTGTGCCGCGAACCCCTCCCTCTTTCAACAAGCAGTGAAGAGTGAAGAGGTGGATCCGAGCGAACCTCTCCCGGAGGCCCAGGCCCAGCCTGGCTCACCCATCGCACAAGCGCGAGCCCTTCTCACGTCCCAGTTTGCAAAGCCTTCCGCTTCCACGCGGCCTCTCGGGCGGCCCTCAGAACCACCTTGTGGGTGAACAGGAAGGGGGTCACTGAACCCACCTTACAGATGTGGTCACTGAGGCCCAGAGGACCCAGAATTGAGTTGTCCAAGGTCACACAATGAGGCATGCACAAGGCTGGAATGTGAACTCCAGATCCAAGAGGCCCCCCCAAGCCGGTGTCCAGCCTCGGGCTCAAGGTCAAAGTAGCATCCTCCACCACCATCATTTCGGCAGGCCCACTGTCTGGCTCCTGTCCCCACCAGGGCGCAGGCCCGTGAGGAGCCCTGTCGGGCCCACAGGTGTGTTCCCAGTGATTAGACAGCCCGGCGCCTAGTAGTTGCTTATTAATAATGAACGAAGGACTGCGTCTCAAATAAGCAATTGATGAGCCTGAAAATAGCAAGGCCCGGACACAAACGGAAGTTCCAGATGCGCTGGCAGGGGCTCCCTCTCGGTCTTGCCTGTCTCCCTATCTTGCACACTCACATGCACAGCTTGTCCCCAGGTTCCACCTGAGATCCGAGAACCGGTGAGGGCTAGTCAGGAACCCGCCCTGACTAGCACAGCTTGTCCCCAGGTTTCACCTGAGATCTGGAACCTTCTCCTGTTCCTCCAAATGACTGACAGTACCCGTAGTGAGAACCTGGCACCCCGAGGCTGCAAGGGCTCTACTCCAACATGGACCTCAAGGACTGACCCTCCGCAAGGGCTGCTCACAGACAGAGACTCCCCAACCCGGGCACACGGTGGCTTAACGGGGACCAAGGGCTGGCAGGAGTCTGACAGGGGAATGGGGCTCTGACATTTGGGGGCCGTGTGGCGGCAGAAGAGATGAAGACAGACACCCACCCTGGTTCCAGGTTTGGCTTCCAATCTGCTGGGCAAACGACCCCTCTGTGCCTCAGTTTCCACATGTGTACTCAGTGCCGTCCACCCACCTCGCGGGGTTATGAGGTCTGGGTGAGAGGTCTCCCCACCTTCTTCCAAAGAGGTTGCCCTAACGAGTTGCCTTTTCTTTTGAATGATCACCAGAGAACCCCGGGTGAAACGCCCCTTCCTTTGTGGTTCTTCAAACACTACTTGGGGACCGAGGGCACATGCTGGCCATGCAGCTACGGTCCTCTCAAACGACCGCTGCGCCAAGCAGCTCAGCCCCAGAGGGACAGACAAACAGAGGGACCTGCGGATGCCCCCCACCTGCCACATGCTCCCTCCCCTCTGGCCACCTCCTGATCTCACTGTGGGTGCCTGACCCCAGCCAGCCTCTGAGCTCTGGCCAATGGGTGGGGTGACCACCCAGGCAGATCCTCTAGCTAGGCTCCAGAGGGGTCGGTCACAAAGAGGTGGCAGGCAGATAAATGGAAGGTAGGAGGCAGGGCTGAGCAGGAACGTGAATAGCAGATGGGCGAGGTGGGGAAGAGACAGAGAGACACTGCCTCCATCAGAGGTGCCCAGTCTTCCATCAGGACTGGCTGAGGCTGAGGGATGCTTTCATACCCTGAGTCCCTCCAGCCCTCAGTACCCGATTATCTGGCTTATCTGTTTTTCACAATCTGGAAGAGCCTCGCTAACACCCTTGATGCCAACAGAATCGCAGCTGTGGAAGCCAAGGTCAGGAGGAGGTGACTGAGGGACCTTGCCTAGATGGATAACACTTAGTGCATCACACTGTGTCTACTCGGTGGGAGGGGCCGAGACAGTCTCAGCTGGTCTGGGGACCAGGAAAAGTCTGTTCTGCTGAGCAATGGAGTATTCTTTCTTTCATGGATAGTGCTCCAAGTAACTGACCCCATTTCTCTTTTTACTCTGGCTGCTGGGAAGCTTGGAATGACATGCATGGCCCACCTGGGGCGAGTGTGCATTCCAGTCCACGTTTTCGTACAAACGTCATTCCCGATTCCATTTTATGGCCCTGCCTTTGTTCTTCTCAGTCCACTTTCCATTTGTACCACTTGGACTCGCTCCATGAGCCTTTGGAAGCTGCCTAAACTCTCTTCTGGAAGGGGGCAGAGCACGGACAATATTTTTACAGCCGGGCAATAGATCTGAAAGGACTTTGTAAAAAAAATGCATGGAACTGTATTTACTAGTGTATAAAACGTGCCGATCTATAAGAGACATCTCAGTTTTACAAGGATTTTTAAAGATAGTGGATTTTCCTTTATACATGTACTGAAGGTGGCTTTGTTGGGGAAACATAAGTCAGCTGCATGTGCCACCTGAGCTGGCCCCTCTCCCTGCTCCTCTGCTTAGCGCCACAATAGCCATGCTGGCCAGTTACCATTTTCTTTCTCAAAATCTAGAATTTCACCTTATACCAAACATCATAGAAATACCCCAACTATTCTTGAATCGTGGGTCAGGATAATAGGAGACCACTCAACTGTACCTCCCCTGGCGGGTAACTGGGTGCTGTTAAAACAGTCCCAGGAGGCAGCACTTTGCCCTTGGCGTTGCCACGTGCTGCCACCAGGGGTCAGCGCTGGTGCCCTCCCAGGACCAGGGCCTTCTATGGGCAAAAGGCCAGGACACGCCCATACCGGCTCAGGAACCAACCCTATCACACCATCAGGACCTGGGGCCGGAACAGGGCTAACCCACCCTCATTTTCCTCCTTTCCACTGAGGCCTGGTATGAGATAAATGTTCATATCTTTACCAGAACAAGCGCAGCCCTGCCTCCCAGAACCAGCGCCCCTGCCCCGCCTCTACTCCTGACCCCCTTCCCGACTCCGCTGTGTTTTTCCCGGGTCTCACTACAACCGCCTGCTATGCTAATTGCTGATAAGCCCGTTTCCTGTTCATCCCACTAGAACATCATCGGCCCATGGGGCCATGCTGGCTTCATGAACACACGGAGCAGAGGGTCAAACCAGGAAGGGACCTGCCTAGCTCAGATGAGCTGGCCTAGGACAGCTGGTCCAGCCGAAGGCCTTGGGACATGGGTGTCAGGTCCACCAACCCGCCCAGGTCCGGCTCTCAGCGGGAAGGCCCAGGACCTGATTTGGTCAACCCGAGAGGGCGGCTCCTCTCTCAGGGATGGACCCAAATGACCCAGCTTGTGAGACGGGTGCCAGCCCCCAGCCCACCTGCTCATTTCTGGGTAAAGAACAGCGCTGTGTGTTCCCCGCACCGTGGATGAGTCCCAGGGAACCGTGGGGCTGGGTGAGGAGCGGGAGGCCCAGCAAGGGCAGGGCAGGGCGGCAGGACGTGAACGGGATTACAAGCTGGCGCCCACACGGGTGCTTCGAAAATGCCCAGTTTCTAACATTGAGAAATTTCTCATGAAAATTTCACCCCCACTCCAACTCGAGACCTGGAGACCCAGCCCAGAGGGAGCCCCCAGCCAAGGGGAGAAGGCTGGCCTTCTCTGTCCGGCAGGGGGCAAGGCCTGGCTGGCACCGGAGGAGCATGTGAGTTCAAGCCCCTGCTCTGGGAACTTGCTCTAGCTGTGTGACATGGGGCACTGACTTTCCCTCTCTGATCCTTCCTCCTTCCTCATCTGCAGGTGGGTCGCACCACCTCCCTCTCACGGGGCCATGGCGAGAGCATGCACCAAAGGAGACCATGTGAGCAGAAGCCTCAGCACCGCAGTGGGCTCAGCACAGGTGAGCCATGGGCCAGCACCCCACCCCACCTGCCTGCCTCAGGCTTACCTTGCTCACCTTCAGGGGCTTTGTCCACCGTGTACCAGAGCTTGAAGCGTGCAGAGTGTTCGTTCCTCAGCTCTTCCAGCTCAGGCCGCAGCAGGATGTCCTTCTCAGTCTGTGGGGGGACAGGGCCCAGGAGTCAGAAGGGATGGTGACAGGGATTGCCCTTGGTGACACTCCTCGCCCAACGGCTCGTCATCCTGTCACCCACGGGCCACCCGCTTGGCGAAGCTTCCAGGAACGCAGACCGGCGTAGCTCACCAGACTCCAGGAACACTCACCCCACCCTCTCCTCATCTTGCCTCAGGAGCGGATAAAAGCTACAGGTGAAGACGTTGCCGATATAATGGGGAGTGGAGAGAGCAGAAAACAGAACTTCAGATGGGAAAGCTCAAGTATGGGACAAAGGCGAGAGACTAGAAGGAAATATGCCGAAATATGAATCGTGATTATCCCTAGGGGTCGGTTTAACACCTAAAATAACAACTGCTTTAGTTGAAGGAATGAGGGTTCACCACCCTCGTCCCTGGGGCAAGCCTTTATGTTCCGGCTTTCCAGTGTGCACAGCTATAAATTAGGACATAGATACCTGGTAGCCCCGCAGGGCCGGACAGAGGTCAGCCTACTGCCATCTCCTCCAGGAAGCCTTCCCAGAACCCCCAGGGCTGTGCCAGAGAGTGTCCGTCTTCCTACACCTCTGCCAGCACTGGGTAAGAACTGTTTCCTCTTTGCCAGTCAGACTGATGGAAAGTAAATCTCGTGTTTAATAAATAAGTTTGCCATTGGTCTAGTCATATCTTTTCTTATGACTTTGTACTCTTTACATTAAGGGTATTAATTTTTATTGGTGATGCATTATCTATTTATATGTCCCCCCACCCCGGGAGCTTTAATTTTTTTTTTTTTTTCAGTAGGGGACTCTAAGGGCTCACCTTTGGGGTCTTGCTTAGACTAATCATCCTCATTCATTCATTCAACAATACTTGTAAAAATCTCAACTACTACTTTTAAAGCTTCGTTTTGTTTTCATATGTACACACTTTTAACCTAAACTTCATTTTGTTATAAAGTGACGTAGGGACATACTTAGTGTTCCCCAAACGTATAACAATTAACCCAATACTCCTTTTCCTCTCTCCACTCAGGTTTCAGACGTCACCCGCATCAGAGACACAGTCTCGTATGTACTTGGGTCTGTTTCTAGGTCAGACTTGTTCGACAGGACTTTCTGCAATGATCGGAATGTTCTACATCTGTGTTGTTCAATGTGGTAACCACTGGCCACAGGTAGCTATGGGACCCATGCAATGTGGCCAGCGAGACTGGGAGAGTAAGCTTTTAATTTTATTTAACCTTGATTCATTTAAATGTAAATAGCAACATATTCTAGCATATTCCAGCACAGTCTAGACTTGCATTGTGTTACCCAGAAAGGCATTAAGTCCGGGAAGCCAGGTGTCATGTGTGGCTCTAGAACCATGTTTTCATCACGGATGCTGTTTAGTATGTTTTAACATCTAGTGCTCCTCGTTATTCTTTTTCAAAACTGACTTGGCTGTGCATATATGCTTCGCCTGTGGGACCATTTTATTATTTTTTCATACGACAGGGAAGAAAATACCCGCCTGGGAATGAGTATTAGTTTATAAAGAACCAACGACACCTTGAGAGCATCAGTCTCTCTGGCCAAGAAGAAGGCATGCCCCACTGGTATGAACCGTCCCGTAACGTCCCTCTGAAAAGCCGTGTTTCCTTATGGCCAAGGCTGGTGCGGAGCCCCGAGCTTTCCCGACTCAGGACACGGGAAGGAGGGAGGGGCAACAGCCTGGCTGCAGCAAAGCAGTGTTTCTCAGGGTGTCGCCTGTGACCTCCTGGGGTGTCGGAGACCCTTCAGAGGGCCCCTGAGGTCAAAACGATTTTCATATAACATTAAGACGCTTCATTTCTCACTCTCGCGCCCTCATCAATGCACGGCGGGACTTCCAGAGGCTTTATGACTTGAGATACTGCACCGACCGAACGCAGAAACACGTGGAATCCAGCCGCTTCTCTTAAGCCGGATGTTACAAAAGGTTTGCAAAAATGTAAAGCAAAACAATGGCCTCTAAAATATAGTTATTTTCCATAAAATATGCTCTGATTCGAGTCTTGGTTCCACCACTTCCTGGGTCCACCGCTTCCCCTCTCTGGCCCTCTGTGTCCAGAGCTTACAAAGGTGGGGCAGTCCCAGCGCCCCGGCTAACGGGCAGCAGGCTCGAAGATGCCCTGCGTAGGTGAGAGATGGCGGACGGCCTCCGCTGGGACTAACCCAGCACCACCAAGTCGAACCGCTGCTCCCCCTCCCTCCCCACCAGCAGCTTGGAATTTCTGGCTCTTTCCACCTTCCCCCTGGGACTAGTCAAGGCCACCTTGGCTGGCCACAGAGCAAGGTTTTATAGCTGTGCAGGAGTCCAAAGACCTCGGGCAAGCCCCTCTCCCTCTGGGCTTGGTTTCCTCGCAGATGGACAGTGCAGAGCCCGGGCCAGAGGGACGCTGGGGCAAGCTGACCTGAACCGTATCTGCGAGGGAGGTACAGGGGGCCTGGGCATGGCTCCCACACTGCAGGGAGGGGGTGTCTCAGCTTCCCCTAAAGGGGCGTCGCTTTACAAAATCCACGTAATCAACCCTGAAACACTGAACGAGGAAAGAGCCTTGCGACGACCTTGCTTTATCAGCTCATTCCAGCTGAGGGAGCAAAGCCCAGAGGGAAAATGTCTTGGCTAAGGGCACACAGCAGGCGAGGGCAGACAGGGAGGGTGGGGAGGACGGCATGCACTTAGGAGGGACCAGGTCCAAACCCTGCCCAACGTGCCTAGCTCGGGGACCTGGTACGGGTGTTCTCTCGGTACCTCATCTGTGAAACGGCCCCTCTGTCCCCAGGCTGGCCCCAGCCCAGGCCGGCATTTGCCTACTTCACTGGTGGGTTCTGAGCTCTGTTTGTGGAGGGAGCTCTGAGGTTCGGAGGAAGAAGCTGGGGGGAGCACAGCTCAGGTGGGGGGTGCTCTAGGTACCTCACCCCTCTCCACTCCCAAGCATCAGGTCACTGGGCTCTGGGCTGAAAAGCCTGGCCCTCACCTGCTGCTGCTAAGCTGCCTGTGAACAGAATGTTCGGAGCACCCCTCACATTTCAGCAGTCCTGAGCATCCACGCGGACCCATAATCATGCCTTGCCAGGCCCAGTGTCCCCCCTCAGCAGGAGCTGGGTCTGCACATCTCCAGAACGTCCACTGACCTGGTTGGCAAACAGCAGATGGCACACAGTGTGGTCATCTGGGTCCTTCATGATGGCACGAATCACCTGCAGCATTGGGGTGATGCCTGCAAAATGGTAACCCCCACACGCTGAGTGAGCGCCTGCTGCATACTTACAGGCAGTTGCCCAGGGGACGGTGCAGGACAACTGGGCCTGGGTCCCTGACCTCGGGCAGCTCACAATCGCTCAACCCTATGCCCCGTCCCACGCCCTGACCCCCACCCATGACATCCACCCACTGGGGACTCCGTGAGGGGCTCCGCGTCCACGTACCTGTTCCTCCCGCGATCATGCCGACAGACTTCGCTGTCTTGATGACGGGGTTGGATTTCTTGTCTGGACGGATGGCAAACTTTCCTGGGGGAGAGGAGAAGGGGTGAGGCCCAGCTCTCAAACACAGGTGTTTGGGAGTCATTTAGGCTGGAGAACCTGGCCCCGCTTAGGGGCCCGAGGTACGGGCAGCCACCATACAAACGCAGCCAGGAATGGTGAGGGAGAGAATGGGCAGGCGGGGTACCAGGGCCACTCGAATGCCCAGAGGGACACAGGGATCAGCCCTTCATGCAGATGGCATGGGGTGCAGCGCAGAGGCTGGCAGACGGGAGGCACTCCGGCACAACCCTTTGGCTTGTGTTCAGCCAAATGAGGCTGGTTTGTGGGTCGGATGTGGGCCCCGAGGGCAGCCAATTTGCAACCCCTGTGCTTGCCAACTTATTCCCTTTACAGCTGGGGAAACTGAGGCCCCAGAGACGAGGCATCTTGCCCAACAAGAATCACCCATCCGGACAGCAGCAGAGTCAGGACCTGCACCCAGCATTCACAGGACCAGCTGGGTCCTCGGGGAATTCCAACCCGATTCACCTTTGCCCTGGTAGACCAGCAGCCCGTTCGGGCCCCGGAAGTCGATGGTGTCTCCGATCTTCAGGCTTTCCACGTACTGGGACATCTTCCCTCCAGCGGGAAACTTGGGATGGGTGTCTTTGAAGTAAACCTGCAAGACACACCCACAGTCCTCGGTCCCCAGTTTCCAGGGTTGCAGGGTAAGCTTTGGGCCACCGTGGGAAGTGCCTCTTAGGGGGCTCTTCTGCAGCCCTGTGTGGCCTTCTCACGCAGTGCCCCATCTGCCCATGAAACTTACCTGCCTGTGTCCTGTACCCCCAGCAGTCTGCCCTCCCCCTAACGTGTCCTTGGAACGAACAGCCTCAGCCTGGTGTACACAGGGCGACCAATCTAGGCCTTGATTTGATGCATAAACATTCCACCGAGAACTCTGTGTCCCCCTTCCTGAAGCAAGATTCTGACGGCCATCAGCACAGTGAAGGCTAAGGCTCCGGGAAGTCAGCTCAGCCACGCCCTCCTGGGGGACATTCAGTTCCTTCCATTTTGTGCTGTCATAAAAACATCAAACTTCCTGCCCTGTGCCCTTTGGGATTTCGGCTTTGTGTGTGTGCGGCGGGGAGTACGGGGAGATGGAGGCAGTCCGAGCACAGCGTATGCCAGGCCAGGCCTCTGACCCTGATCCGAGGCCAAGGGCCAGCGAGGTCTCTGAGCCAGGAGGGTCACTGTGAGTTTCTCATCCTCTCCTTGAATCCCCCCATGTTCTCCGCATCTGGCCTGAGTGATTAAGACAAGAATAGCTGCTCGGACCCTCGCCACCGTCTCTCAGCTGCTGGACAAAGCCCCAAGCTTCCGGGGGCCTCCAAGGCCCTGCCTGGCCCCGCCGGCCTCTCCCACCTCTCTCATCTCGAGCCACCGCCCTCCCGCGGGTCTCCTACTGACCTCAGGTCCTTTGCACCTGGAAGGTCCTTCTCCTCCCTCTTCTCACTGCAAGATCTCACCTCACTATGAATGCTCAGGGGGCGGCTCTCATCACCCCACTCCGGCCTGTTCCAAGCACTCAGTCCTGTGTCCTCGCCCCCTGGAATAAGCACTGACCTCTGTGTGACCATGTGTTCACTGTCTGCTCTCCAGCCAATGACAGGCTCCTGAGGCCAGGCCTGGGTACCCAGCTTAGGGTCTAAATGACACCAAGGTAAGAAGCGACCCAGACCAGAACCAGGACAACTCCCTTCCTGCCCTCACAGACCCAGCACCTGCCCCAAGACTCAGCAAGGGGCTCTGCCTCTGACCCAGTCCTGGGGCAGGTGCTGGGTCCGTGCTGGGTCTCTAGAGCAGGTGCTCTGGGGATTAGGCCTGGACTGGTCTGGATCTGTTGGATGTGTAATCGGAGAATGTGGGTCGCTGCTGTAAAGCTTGTTTCTAGTTTTCATAAAAATGTCCCCTGCTGCAGTTGTCACTTCTCTTTCCACTGAGCACAATGTTTTTATGATCCTGGCTGGTCATTCTGTATCTCTCTGGTCTGTCACCGCTAACGGCTGCATCTTCTCCCTGGCCCGTGACAGGCTCCAGAAGGCTTGTCACCCCAGCTCCCAAGACGACGCGCCGTGAGCTCCTCACACCGCACCCCTAGCGAGTTTGCAGTTGCCTCTCAGGGAATCATGCTCAGGAGAGGACCTGCTGGTCACAGAGCCTGTGCATCGAGTGTGGCGGAGCGGGTGCCTCGGCCACCATCAGGTGCTCAGCTCCGAGAGCAGGAAAGTGAGCCCTGCGCCTGCCGATCGACCTTCCCGGTTCCTCTTCCACAGACGAGCAGCCCCATGTGAAGACACTTAGCCCGAGCCCAGGCCCTGCCCTCTGCCGAGACCCCCACATGTGGCTTTTGCTGGCAACTACAATTTGTTTTTCACTCAGAAATCGGGCACAGGGAGCCCTGGGCCTTCAGACCCCAGGCTGTGGGGAACGTGGGTCCCCCGGAGGCCTCGGCTGTGATGGAGGCATCCCCGCCCCGCACGGGCACAGCAGCGAAACCTCACCTTGATGACCAGGTCCACGAAGCCCTTGTCGTCATCACTGGAGACAGGCGTGTAGGGCCGAATGACCAGGTTTCCGTCGATTCGCGCCGAGAGGTAGATGTGCTGGCCTGCAGGATGGACAGGGGTGGCCCTGGGTCAGGGACCGCCCCCACCGGGTCCGCCGGGCCTCGGTGACCGGTTGCCTTGTGCCCGCCCTGCTCGGCTCCCACAGCCCAGCCCCTCACCACCACACCTCTGCTCACGCTGGTGCCACGGCCGGGACCCCAGGGCACTTCCCCTCATTCTGATATTTACCCTCGAGGGCAGAGGGAGACTGTCACCTTCTCTTTGAAGCCTTCCCTGCTTTCCCTAGTCGAAGTACAAAGTCCCCACCTCTCTGACCTAGCGCCCGGCTCCACTCACCAACAGGGAGGCCCAGGATGTGCTGCGGTGACGGCAGGGCGAAGCGGAACCGCCGGGTGTCATGGCTGATGACCTACAAAGAGGCCCAAGCTGTTGGGACGGCACCCAGGGCAGAGGGGCCAACCGGCCCCTGGGTCGCTGAGAGAAGCCGCACTGGTGCTCACCATATGTGGACACACGACCTGCACGCGTGTGTGTGAGGGCAGAGGTCAGGCACACACTGGCTCAGAGAAGGGCAGTGACCTGCCCAGGGCCACACAGCAAGGTGGTCAGAATGACAAGTGAACTCAGGATCCCAAAGGGAGGCTGCCAAACGGCCCAGAAAATTCCAGGGACAGAAGGGAGAGATTCCCCTCTGCCATCGGCTTGAGCAGTGTCCTGAGGTGGCAGGAAGAACTTGGGGACTGGGCTGGCAAACTAGGGGTAGAGCTGAGACAAGGCCTTATGTGCCCAGGCCTAGACTCAAGAGAGGGGCTCTAGAAACCACCATACTCAAAGCCACCTGAGAACCAGGGCAGCCACGACCCTGTGGCTGGCGGCACAGGGCGGAAGGCGCACGGTCCCCGGGTGGGGCAGAGGCTGCCTGAGGTGAAGGAGCCGAGACAAACGCCCCAGAATCCTTGGTCTTAAACCAAGGCCAGCGAAGCTGTGGTCTGAACCTAGCACTCTGACTCCTGACCTGGGCCCCACCAGGCCCCTATGGGGTTTCCCCTTCACCCGGTGCAGCCAGGAGCGTGGGTGTGGAGGGGCAGAGCGTGTTCACGTGAGGCTAGGTGAAGTGGCAAGGCCTCCTGATGGACATTGTTCTTACTCAGAAAGAGGGACATGGACTTCTCCAAAGAAACAGTGTCGCCCTGAGCATCACTGAAGTGTGCAAGCAGAGGAAGGTGGCCTGGATCTCAGGAAGGACGGCACCCAGCCGCCACTTAAGACACAGGGCTTGTTGGTGGACCTCTCTGCCCTGGAAGCCTCTGCCCTCCGGCCACATAGGGTCTCAAGGCCTCCTGGGAGCAGGTTCCAGGATTACTGACTGGTCCTGGGGCTCAAGGTCGGAAACCCACACGCCAGACAATTTTTGGAGGAAGAAGAGAAATGAGGGAAAGATACTGATTATTATTGTGCTGGGCAACCTCTAGCGGGGCACAGCACAGCACTGGCATCCAGGAGGCTGCTGGCCATGATGACCTCAGCGGCAGACTCTCAGAGCTTCGGGGGACCGTGCAGTCGCCTGGTCCAGTTTAGTTCAGAGGCAAAGGGCAGGCAGCAGGGGCCCTTCCCCGTGCCAGTGGTGGAACACAGCAAAAGCATCAAAAAGCAGACCCGTCTGCTGACCCTGCAAAGCCCCCATTAGGCTACAATTGTGGGGGGAGGGGGAGATTTAACATACTCAAAGGGGACTGGAGGTCCACATGCGACATCCCTATGACGCAATGCTAGACAGTCGTCAACAATAAGGAATCAGCCTTGGGTTAGACGTGAAAAGATGTCCATGTTACATGGCTGCGTAAAAAAATCAGGTTATTAAAAAAGAGAAACTCAGTACATACACACCTGAACCTCCACACGTCATATCTACACAAACATGACACCCAGAAAAGGCTCGTGCTGACCCGTGAATGAGATCTCTGTGGGTGAAGGAGGGGGCATGAGGGATGGGGGAGGGGATCATTCACACTTCAAAAGCAGAATTTTTATAAAAAAGGAAATAAGGAAAACATTTTTTAAAAGGTTAAGATTTCAAAACATTAAGATTTCGTTTTAGTGAGAAAAAAATGTCTATAAAACATATTGAAAGGGTAAGTGTGGTCTCACAGAGGAAGGGGTAACTTTTTTTTTCTTTAGCCTCTCTCTGGTTTTTAACTCTTCTGTGAACTCCTGGTACAATCATAGATACACATCCCACCAGCCACGAGAAGCCCCAGCTCTGCGCCAAGGAGACTTGAGGCTCCTACGGAACCCGGGGCCTCTCGGGCAGGTGAATCTCTGCTCCATGACTCAAGTTTTTCCGGTCACACCCTTCTTGAGGCAGCTGCAGGTGGCCAGAAATAGCGTGAGGGAGGGGCTCGGATAGGGGAAGAGTAAGGAGGAAGGCGGCCCTTAGCGGCACAGGGCGAAGGAGGAAGGGGATGGTTTTCAATCACAATCAGAAGTTTGCAAAGGGAAATGTCCCACGAGGTGGCAGGAGGGAGCCTGGCAGAGGGGCAGATGGAGTCACAGTGGCATCAGGCGATCAGGCAGGGCATCTGCGCAGATGTAACAAGCCAGGCCCTGAGCAGATGGCCCTGGGGGGCGGGGAAGAGGGAGGGGCAGTGCGAGGAGGAGCACCCGGGACCACCGGGAGGCCTGAGTCCTGGTTCTACCTGTAACTTACAGTGTGACCTCTTTCATCCTGCTTTCCCACCTGTTAAATGAGTGCTTGAACCCAAAAGTCCTGAGGGTCCCTCCCACCTGGACGGTCTGTAGGACAGTGCGTGTGGTTCGGAGAATGCGCTCTGTGGTCAGAGCCCTGGTTTCGAATCACTTTGCCACTCAGCGGTAGCTACAGAAATGGACCTCACCTGCTTTATCCATCTCTAAAATGGGCAGGTGACAGGACCTACTTCAAAGGAGCCACATCCTGAGCACATAGTAGGTGCTTGGGAAATGCCGTGATACTGACAAGGAGAGAGGTGCCTCTGGGGGCCCACGCCCTGTGACCCCTCCCCGCCATGTGGGGTCTGACGGTCACCTCCTTGTCGATGAGCCGCAGCGGGTACTTGATGTCCGGGCTCTCGAGAGTGATGGCCGGGGCGGAGCGCTGGAACAGCTTCATGAGCAGGTTGTAGAGGAACCAGACTGGGGAGAGGACCACGTGGCCCAACTGAAACGACAGGACAGACCCACGAGGTCAGCGCGGGCATGGGGAGGGGCCTGCTCCCTGCCTTTTCCTCAAACGCGCCCATTGGTTCACACCTCCAGGCTTTTGCTCACGCTATCCCCACTGTTGGGAACACCTCGCCATCCTCATTCAGAGAACCTCCCGTCATGCATTTTGGCACTGGCTGGGAGGAGCTACAGAAAGCAGACTCATGAAACCCATCACTGCATTACTAAGTCCGTTTCCCCCAAGGTACAGGGACGAAGAAAGCTACGTAACTGAGCATGCATCCCTTTTCACTTTGGCTGCCAGGAAGCTCAGCATAATAGTACACAAAAAACCGTGCTCGACCACTGTGTATCTGTACTCTCTCCCTTTCTTTCTTCCTTCAGTCAATTTCCTTGGTCTTATTAAGCTCTTTTAAGGCAAAGAGACAAACCCCTGAGCCCTGGGGTTCCACTTTCAGGTGTGAGGGGCAGCAGAGGCACTGGGCTGGGCACTGGGAAGCTCTTCTCCTTGATGGCTGTGTGACCCTGGGCAAGTCCCTTCCCCTCTCTGAACTGAGCTGGACCAGGTGATCTATGAGGTCCCCCAAAGCTCTGAGAAGCTACTGTTCAGAACCACACAGAGCCCGGTACAGGCGTTAACCTCATGACAACCCTATAAGGTCGGTACCAACATCACAACCACTTTACAGATGAGGAAACGGCTCAGAGAGGTGAAGCAACTTGCCCAAGTCACACAGCTGGCAGGTGGGGAGCTTCAAACCTGGGTCCCGCAGCCTCCCTAATCACTTTCTTAAACATTAGGCCAATGCTCACCCTCTTGCATGGCCCTGAGAGGTTCCTCCTTGCCAGCCCCCTGCCCCCCTACATCTCAGTCTCACAAAAGAGTGGTTTGGATTTTTTAACAGAGACAACCCCAAACCTGTGGCAGGATAGTTCGCTGCTCAGGTTTACCCAGAGAAGACACCGTTGCAAAGAAAGACACCGGCCTCCTGCCCTTTCTAGCTGTCTTTTCGTCCCTGGAGAGATCACTTCGCCTCTCTGAGCACGGTTTCTCCAGCTGTGAAATGGGGATCCCAAGCCACACTCCCTGGGCTGTGAAGGTGGAAATAAGCCATGGAAAGTGCCTAACCCAGGCCAGGCTCCCAGCAGGCCCTTGGCCATCTGGAAGTCGGGTCCTGAGCATCCTCCGCTATCTGGACCACAAGCGAGACTCAGGAAGAAAACCATTCAGAGCAACCCTACAGGGGAGAACACAGCAGACACCCCCTAACCAGACAGTGCCACAGGAAAGGCGCCGGCCAACATCCTGCACATCTAGACACAATGTGGGAAGGACCCACCACTGCCCTACGGGCTTCCTTCAGAAACACACAACCCGCCTCTAACCACAAGGAAACACTGAGGGTCATTTTCCAGAATAACTGGCCGTGACTCTTCAAAATGTCAATGCCACGAATAAGAAAGGCCGGGAAACTGGTCCAAATTAAAGGAGGCTCTGGTAGGTTGAACGGTGGCCCCTGGAAGACACGTCCACCCAGATCCTGGGATCTGACCTAATTTGGAAAAGGGGTTTCTGCAGATGTAATCGAACCACGGATCTTGAGATGAGATCATCTTGGATTATCCCAGTGGGCGCTGAATCTCACGACAAGTGTCCTTATGAGAGAGAGAGGCGGAGGGGACTCAGAGAAGGCCACGGAAGACAGGGCAGACTGTGGTGACGCGGCTGCAAGCCAAGGGTTGCCGACGGCCACCAGAAGCGGGAAGAGAGAGGAAAGACCCTCCCCTCAACCTCCAGAGGTCACGGCCCTGCTCGTGCCTTGACTTCAGACTTCTGACCTCCAGAACTGTGAGAGAATCGATTCCTTTGCTTTATGCCATCTAGTCTGTGGTAAACCAATACAGTGACCAAAGAGAGGACCGAATGCAATGTGTGATTTTGGATTAGATGCTGGGCTGGGAAAAAAAAACCAGTTATGAAGGGCAATGCTGGGGCAATGGTGAGATATGAACTCAGGCCCATGGATTAGTCAGCGGCGTTATATCAACGTTACCTTCACGATTTCCTCATTAGCCTGTGCCAGACAAAAGAATGTCCTTGTTCTCAGGAGAAAGTAAAGTATTTAGGGGCAAAAGGGCATCAGAGCTATCACACTCTCAAATAGTTAAAAAAATACACACACAATAAAGCAAATGTTGACATCTGGGACATTTGCGTGAGGAATGGACAAGAGCTCTTTATACTTTCTTGCAACTTTACTGTGAGTCCAAAATTATCTCAAAATCAAAGTGGGGTGTGGTGTAGGAGGAGCCCACTCTGGTGGCTCAAATGGCGAGGTGAGACCCCAAAATTCACGCAAGATACTGTTTCTCAAGAAAGTTGTTTCACAGCTTGTTCACTCGCCCTCCCTACGACACATCCCCCCTGACTTTGTCTCTCAGCAAAGGGCTGTGTGCATTCTTCTTATCATAATCCCACGAGTTCCCTTTTTCGCCTTGGCTGCCAGGAAGCTAAGCCAAGTTCCTTGCTTCCTCGGAGGCCTCTCTGCTTCCTTCGCGGGGCTCCTGAGGTAGCTTATTCTGCACAGCACAGACCTAGAAGTGGTCCCTGCCCTAGTGAGGGCGAGTAAGGTGATCTTCACCTCTCAAGGCCCAGACCCACTGCTCCCCACTTCCTGGAAGCCCGGCCAGGAGTCCTCCCTGTCTATCAGTCCGGGGAGGGCGCCCTCTGGCTGAGCACCTGAGGCCTCTCTGAGCCTCTGTGTTCCCTTCTGCAGAAGGTCAGAGCCACTGCCCTGCCCACCTCCTAGTGGGGCTAGGTTAAAAGATGAGATGTGGCCAGCCCCGTGCACCAAAGGGTCTATGGCTGGGGATGTGGCTGCACACACAGGAACTGCCCGCCACCCTCATGGGGCCGACACCACCGGAAGCTGGAATACCCAAATGAAGGAAGGGCAGAGGCGCCAAGATCCCACGCCAGGTCTGGTCCTGTTCCCCGAACCGGCCCAGCGGCTTCAAGTTGCCCGGCCTGGCTGCAGTTACAGGCCCTTTGTTGGGCTCAGAACAATGTGCCTCTCTCCCAGGCAGGGCCTCCAGGCTGGGTGCAACTGAGGCCTTGCCCCCCGGGGGCCCTGGTCTGCAGTGGGTCTGCAGGGAAAGCCTAGGGAAGCCAGCCCAGACTCTACCCTGCCCAGGGCCACCTGTCCATTTAACTGGCACCTACCATGTTCCAGGCAGCAGGTGGCGTTTCAACCCATCCTGGGTCTCATTTGAAAGGCTCTGGTTTGTAACCCTGGACTCTGGGGTCCAGAGACCTGGGTTCAAGTCCCAGCTCAGGAATTCTGGGGAGAATCTTGGCCTCTCCACCCCCACCTTCCAGTGCCTGAGGATGGCCCCATCTAGGGCTGGGGAGAAAACGAGGCAGGAAAAGGCTGTGCGCACAGCAAATGTGGTCAGCACCCCTGAGCTGGTGCTGCTCCAGGTGTGCACCTGAGTTCCCTGGGATGATCCTCACATCAACCCCAGGCCACCAGTGCTGTAATTATCACCCGGTTACAGATAAGGAAACTGAAGCCCAGAGAGTCTCAGTAACTTGCTCGAGTCACATCAAAGCCAATCCTCAGAGGACCACACTCGTGACAAGTGATACTGTTGTCCCCGTTTCTCAGAGATTAAGTGGCTTGCCCATGGTCATGCAATGACTCAGGAGTGGAGCCAAGATTCAACCCCAGGCCTGTCTCGCCCAAAGTGCGGCTCTCCCAGAGCTCCCTCCCAGGACAGGTGCCCTCTCTGTGCTCCAGACACAGAGCCCACAGCCCAAATCCCCCCTGCCCCACCAGGATCCCACATCCTGCCTCCCGCCGTGAGGCCCCAGCTGTTCAAATCAACAAGACGCTCCATCTCCTCCTCAAACACCCACCATGGCTCCCCACTGCCCACACTCAAGGCCCCTACTGCATGGCCACAACTCTGACCACAAGCCCTTCTTGCCTCAGGCCTTTGAACACTCTCCCTTCTGCCCTTCCTCTTCCCTCAGCCAACCAGCAAACTCCTATTCATCCCTCAGAGCCCAACTCAAATGTCAAATCTCCCGACTGGCACCTCCCTAGCTAAGCAGGCCCTCAGCTGCCTTCCACAGCCTCTGCCCCACGCTGTGAACTCCTTGGGGGTGAGGACTACACTGAGGATTCCCCTGCTACAGCCCCTCCCATATCAATCGGAGAAGCCACATCCGTGTTTAGAGAACACTGTTTAGGGAAAAGCTGTGCGAAGCTACATTTGCAGGAAACCACCATTGTTGGGAGCTCTGGAAATAAACTTAAATGATGCCGAGAGCCAAGTGGAGTTGTGTCTGGTGCTCTCAGGAGTTTTATCGCCCCCGGCACAGCTGTTTGAGTGCACAGCCAAGTTCAATAACATAAGACCCCCTCAGCCTACGGCTCGCTTCAGTCTGCAAAACTCCCTCCCTTGCATTTCCTCAGACCCAGAAGCCAACTGCATTCTCCATCTGACAAATGGGGAAACTGAGACTCAGACGGTGGGGTCTGGGCTTCGGTTTCTGATTTTCTGTCACTCACCCTGAATCACTCAGCTGCCCCCAGCCCATGATTGCTGGCCTGTGCTAAGTGCTGGGCCCTGAGAAAGACCTGTATGTCGACACGTCTGAAGGCGAGTCCTGACACTGGCTTTGACCCTCACACAGACCTTCCAGATCCCAGGCGCCAGCTTCGTGTGCCCTAGACGCCAGGCCTGGGCTCAGACGGCGGGGCCAGCTCCCCGCTTGCGGTCACAGTCTACACAAAACAGTGGACCCTGGAGCAAAAGCCCCGGAAGGCCAGAGGGACCTGTGTGTTTCATGGCCACTGCATCCCCAGAGCTCCTAGCAGGGATACTCAGTAAGTATTTGTGGGTAAATTTGTTAAGGGACAACAAGCCCCATCCCCAGTCTCTCTCTGACTCTTTATTTTGTCTGGAAGTTTCAGGACCTAGGGCAGG